CAGGGGGGACACAGTGCCCTGCCAGAGCTGGAGAGAGGCAGCACCGCTCCCACAGATCACAGCATCACCCCATCATCAGGGCTGGAAGGGACCTTCAAAGTCACCTCCAACCATCAACCCAGCACCATCACAATCACCCCTAAACCACGTCCACAAGTGCCACATCCAGGCTCCCCCTGGACACTTCCCTGCGCAACTTATTTCAACAACTGACCGCCTCTGCAGCGGAAAGAAACTTGGAGGGCGTGTCCAATCTTAGTGACGATGTGATTCTGGGAAGATGAGCAACGTGTACCTTCCCAACCCTTCCCAGGAACCAGGGCTGCCCACATGCTGATGGACAAGGGGAGCAGGGCAAGGAGCAGGGAGATGTGCACCTGCTACCCACCACCGAGCTCGCATAAAACACAACACCTGCAGCGCAGCACAGCTCCTTCCTTCCCCCTAAAAGCCACGGCACCCCAGGGACCACTCAGATGTTTGTGCCACAATGTGCAAATTACAGCGTTTTGCTCAGGAATAATCTTAAATCTTTTTGGTAACATGATCTGAAGAATTATTCCCCGTTTACTTCTTAAGGGACACAAACCCCATCCTTTGCTTACATGAGCATTAAAAAAAGAAAAGAGAGAGGCCTGGAATTCACTGGAATATTCATCATTTCCAACCTTAAACCCACAGCGTACAAACAGACGAATCCAGCAAGTCAGAAAGCAAAGCCAATTTAATCTGTGGCTCCCCTGAGGTAAATGTAGTTCACAGTCCTGCCCCCACCCCAACCTCAGCCATAATCCCTGCTTCCTGGAGGTACGAAAGCACTGGAGTGAGGAAAATTCTGCAGCAGGATATAATGATCCAAAATGACAGGGACAATAATGACAATGAATTTCATGTCTCCCAGTCATGAGCTGGGGATGCTTGACTGGGCTGACTCACACAATTAAATTGTTACAGGTACAGCAGGACGCAGTTACCATCCGCCTGCTTTTGGGAAGGAGCCTCCAGCGCAGGGAAGGGAGCGCCGCGGACGCACAGCCCTTTTGTCGGGAGCAAAGGGCTCGTCCTGCAGGGACGTGGCTGAGTCTGCACCTCTGACAGAGGCAAAACTGGGTTAAAGATGCAGCTGGTGCAGGCCATTGATTTGATCCCTTTTGAGAAGGATAAAACAGCTCTGACGGGTAGAGCACGGTGGGACTCGGCAGCAGCACCGGCGAGCGGTGACCCAGGGGTTGTGCCAGGGGACTGTGAAACGGGGGCTGTCCTGGAGCCCCACTGGTGTTCATGCCAACACCAGCACGGAGAACACTCAGGCTGCTCTGGGGTTTCACTGTGCCCACAACCCACCAGAGGCAGCCAGCGTTCCCCTCTGAATTCCTCTCGTCCTGCCCGTTCCCTCCAGGGTTTCACAGGCAGCTCCATTTTATGGAGCACAGGACAAAACGTATCGGGAAACAAGGGGTTATGGAACATGCACAGAGTATCTCCCTGGTTATGCCCACGGTTAGTGTGCCTGCAAGGCTTGTCCCACCTACCCAGCCTCAGGTCTGAAACACCGAGAAATGTGAGGAGCTCTGTGTTTAAAATCACCTATGGAAAGTCTTTCTAGTGACAAACTGTCAGAGTTTTTATACCCAACGAAGGAAAAACAGCCACAGAGTTGTCTGTAATACCCCTATTACAGCTCAACATCTCCAAATATCCATTTGTCAAACATGAATTATAAAGCTATAACATTTCATAATTCAGGACACACTCAAATCCTAGGAAAAATAGCTACAAGAGCCTAAATAAAAAAAAGCATTTATTCCATTTTTGACAGCTTAATGAATGCCCTACTCTTTTGCATTGATTTTTGTGTGTGTCTGTGTGTGCACGTGTGCCTGGGAAGGATTTCTCAAGGGGTTTGCTGTAAACAGGGAAAGTGAAATCCTCTGCCAAGGCTTTTTATACCTTTAAATAACCTCCATATTAAAATATTTCAGGAGAGAATGCATACAAAACTACTGAGAATGCAAAAAATAAAAGCCAACTACTTACATCCCAATAAATATATGGAAATTTGTAGAACAAGACATTAAACAACCCAATACCCTGATATGGCAGAGGAGTCCAAGAAGCATTATATGTTAATTCCTGCTTTCAGGAAATAGCTGGAAATTTAGAGAGAGATGTCAGCAAAATCCTAAAATCTTAAATTTGTGACTTACACACCAAAAGGCTAATTTTTCTTACCCACCTAAAGGCTCATCTTGCAAGGCAAAACATGCTAAAAATGTCTGCAAGCACCTAGAAATAGAAAAATTATGTATCTTAAAGAAAATCATCTACTTGGAATTGCCGAACTCTTTCCACTGGCACATGCTGGCCGGTTGGATCCCTGCTGTAATGGCTCTCCTAGTTTTTGCCGTAATGAACTCTATATAATTCAAATGGAGATGAATTCTGCCATTTAAAGGGCTTTAGAACAATCCTGCCCTGATGCTGAGCCAGCCCAGCCTCTCCACTGTCCCTCTTCCCCAGCTGTCCCCGAGCCCCCTAAGTGGATCTGACAGATCCCTGCTCACATAGCAGCCGCCTTCTCCCCCCAAAATGTTGCCTCTTTGCTATTCAGGAGTATCCTCATACCAACAAATGCTAAATGCAGTCTGACATGTCCCCCTAAGAAACAAACTTGTAAGTTGTGGCTTCAAAGCAAACCTTGAATAAATAGGACACGTTGTGTACACCCCGGCTAACATCCAACATATGCTTTGGCTTCCCGATGCTCAGGCAGAGCAGGAATAGCCTCTGGACAAGGCTGTGATTTGCTCTTGCTGGTACTTCCAACATTTATAATGTACCATTTTTTTTTGCCTGTATAAACAATTTAGAAGATGTAATGAAGACGACCCCGGCGCCGTTTGGGAACAACATCCTCATGAATTATGGATGGCTGGACGTGCCACCGGCCCCATCACCAATTACAGACCCACACAAAGAGCATTCCTGGGCTTCCTCCTGCACAGGCACAGGGCCACCACCGAGGCACAGCTGGGCAGGGGCTCGAGCACACAAAACACCGCCTCACACCGGGAATGTTTTTAATTCTTCCCTTCGGTGCCGGGCATCAACATCTGTGATCGTTAACAGCCCTGTTATTAACAACTACAGGGACAAGGGATGATGGACAGGAATAGAGGAAAGCGGGAAAACAGGAGAAAACTGCATTTAACTGCGGTTACAGAAACAGTCAAGACCAATTTCTTGATTAACTATTTAGGGAAGAGAGAAGGGATGGAGGGAGAAGAGAAAGATAGCACTGGCTTCAGGACTTGTATTTTTTTCTTTGTCGTTATTTAATGCTCTCTTTTATGACTAATCATTTTGAAAGTACTAAAAGCAGCTTAATTCCATTTATTACCCTCTTCTCTACTTTCACTTCAATTCCCTTTCCCTTTGTCCTCCACTCCTCTGGATTTAGGGTGTGAAGTGTATCATTAAAATTCAAGTATAATGATTTACAAGACCTGAAGGGTGCCTGCTGAAACGTTATGACTTAAAACAAATTTCCTGTGGCCAGAACACAGGTTAACTGATCAGGATAAAACAGTTCAGGTGCTCCAACCCCACATGAGTCCACCCAGCCCAGGGGCTGACCTGCAGAAGAGGCACTGCAGGCAAAATTGAGTCCAAATGTGGCATGTTAAGAGCTGATTTAAAATTCTAGTTGGGAAGTCTTCTGCATTAGGTGCGGCCTCAAAGCACCCAGATGTGTATTATCAACACACAAATTTCACCCTTTAGTGTTTCAGAACCCCTTCATTCTTCAGGGAAACTGAGGTTTGGTGCAGCTTTGAGAGGTTTTCCTATTTTTTTTTCCCTGCAAAATACCAGTTCTTTACATTCTGCCTAAACCAGAGGATAACTAAGCTGTATCTTATAAAAAACCCAAAATAAGGCAAGACATACAATATTTTTTCTTTTCTATTTTACACTTCTTCCTTTCCAAATTCAGAGTCTGGGTTTGTTTTCTTTTGTTGGGATGGCACCAAACCCTCCAGAGACATCTCTCAGTAACTCAGAGCCCTGCCCTGCCCTTCTGGTGTTTGCCATCAAAGCCCAATCTTTAGATGTATTGCACCACTGTTCAAAATAACTATTCACCCAGGAAACCTGAGGACTAATTTTAAGGCTATCCTGAAAGGTGCATCTTTGGAATGCTGGGAGTAGTAAATAGCCACGATACAGCCAAATTACTTAGCTAATCAGAAAAAACTTCACTGGATTATAAACAGATTTCAAGTTATAGTGCTCTTCTGAGGAGTGTAATTACAGTTAAGAGAACCACTCCATTCTTCTGGCATGCTCCTGGGATCCCTTACAGCAGGCTAAGGGATAGCTTAGGATAAGGAATAAAGAAATCTCAATTCCTTCTCTGTACCTCCAGCAGCTCCTCGCATAGGGTACAAAACCTACCACACTCATGTCTTATGGCAATCTCTAGTCTTTGACTGCAATTACCATGAACGCTCTTTCTGCAGAGCAATTAATTCCACTGGTGATATGAAACCTAACTGACCCAGGCCTCATCTAACCCAGAGTGAGAACCACAACCAGATCATCCAGATCCAGCTTAGAAGTTCTCTGCACGGTGGAAGTGCTACAGCAACCCATTTGACATTGCTGCAATCATCAGATTTTCCTGACTTCTTCGTCTTCTTCTTCCTATAAGTGCAGAGCACCATGCCCAGCTGGGAAGTTGTAGGGAATCACCAGAACACTTTCACACGGCACTACACTCACTAGCCAAGAAAACCAATATATTTTCTCCTACCTTCAGCAAGTACCGTCACAAAACCATAATTTACCTACCAAACTCACGCTCAAGAGGCAAGCTGAATCCTTCAAGCTGCTGTTCCTCCCCTGAGAGACTCAATGCACAGGACCTACAGCGTCATACCTGTGTCCCTGCCCCCAAACCCAGCACAACAGGAGCACTGGAAGCACAGGGAGCACCGTACCATCGTAGTAGACAATAGCTCCAACCAGCTTGTCCTTGCGCAGCATCGGGAACAGCTCCAAGGCTCTCGACTTGGTGAGGACATAACTGCTCTTCAGGCACTGGCTTCCTGCCACCAGGTCATAGAGCTTTATCCCAATCCAGTAGTAGGGCAGCTGCCACCATCTGCACAGAAAAAAATACCCATGAAGTGAAAACAACAAAGAATTTAGAAGCACCTTCACACACTGTTCTTGCAGCACAGAGCATGTTGAGTAACGGTGTGTTGAGTTACACCAGTTTTACCCTGTCCCTTCAGACAAGCTCGTGGTACCACAATGGAATGTAAATATTCAAGCCTGAGGTATTGTTTGCTCCTGTTTTCAACACAGCTACTCGCTGCAGTGAGCCAAGCAGACCCAAGGCTTTGTTTGTACAGCCCAGACACAGCTCACCCGCTGGAGGGCAGAGCTGGTGACAGCCTCAGGGAGCTGCTTCGGGAAGGGGACCCGGAAACTTCTCCAGGGACATGGTTTGCTTGTCAGCGTGCAGGGAGGAGGGGAGATGCCAGAGCAGAGCTTACTTGTAGATGGGCAGCATGATGGGCAGCGGAGCGGAGAGGTGCGGGGCGCTCTGCAGCAGGTGTGCGCGCTCCTCCAGCGCCTCCTTCACCATCCTGTACTGCAAACACCAGAGCCACGTCAGCCACGCCCCACCCAGCCCCGAGCCCACGGGCACCACTCAGCAGGGAACTCCAGCAAAGCCAACACCTCACACCGTTCCTACTCACCTCCCACAGACACACTGAGGTCCGCTGAAAAATTCAGAAGTTAGGGAAAACGATTCCCAGCAAAATTGAGTTTCAGTAATTTAACCTCGGTGTCTAGGTAGGCCAGCTGGACAATTTTTGATCTGAACATAAAGCACACTAAGCCACATTGCCCTAACGGTGGTCAGGAGGCACTTGGGAGGGCTGGGACTTGTCCCACAACACAGCTTCCAAGCCAATTCCCACAGTCAAATCCCACCCTGACTCCAAGCTGCAAATGCAGAAGGGTTCTTCTCTAAACCAATCAATGTGCACCAACATGAAGTTGTTCTTTGGCAGAAAAGGTTGGTTTCCACATCTGGGTGACTGCATGGTTTAGATATTTTCCCCTGAAAATCACCATTTCTGTAGCAGTGCTACAACCCCTAAAACATACTTTGAGAGGTTTCAATGGGAAGACAATGCAATTCCCCAAAACAGGAATGCCAGGCTTCCAACAACACAGGAATACACAAACCCATTTACATATAATCACTATAATCATTTACCATATTTTCTTTCCCCTTGCCAAAATACACCACTTGCTTACCATCTTTTTCCCTATTACAAAATAAATCACTCATTTACAGTATTTTTTCCTCATTCCAAGTTAAATCATTCCTTTACTATGTTTTCTTTCCCCATTCCAGAGCAGGACAGACAGACCCTCTCCTCCAGATTCTGATCATGGCAAGTAGAAAGCTCTTTTCATCCTGAGAGCAGCCCTGTCTCTGTCTCCCTGGCCCCAAATCCACAGCCTACAAGGCCTGGCCACTGCACTGCCCAGCGGAGGACCGAGCCAAGGCAGCAGCCTGGAAAGCTCCCTGGGAGAAGACACTTCCCATGCACAGTGCCTGTGGAATACAACAGCCAAGCAGTGAAAAAAAATCAAAAGGAGACCCGGATCTAATTGGGACAGGGGAAGTGTCTCCAGCAATTCTTGCTTAACAACCAGCACAAACAATTACCTGCTCGAAATCCAACTTCATGATGGCCTTCTGGAGGTACCTCACTCCACCGTGGATCAATTTAGTGCTCCTGCTGCTGGTCCCCGATGAGAAATCATATCTTTCTAGAAGGGCTGTTTTTAGTCCTGTGTTACCAGAAAACCAAATTAACTTCTTAAATTACACAATTTGTATGTAATTCATTAAAGACACTTCTCTAGGGTAGAGACAATCACAAGAAAAATTACTCTGTACATGGATAAATTTGTATTCAAAGTGTAGTGCACTGTCTATATTGTAATGAAAAATTTTAGCCTCCTTCCTGAGGGAAAAGTCAAACCAGAACTTAAACAGAAGCACATTAAAACCTGGCTATTTCACAATGGAAAGGCATTACGGCACATTACGGGGGCCACGCTCCCGCAAGCAAATGAGAGCTCGGATGCACGGCAGGAACAGAGGGCTTGCATGGACACTTTTAACTCCTTGCAGCAGAGAGCTCTGCACCTCCTGCACTAACAATTTAAACAGCATTCCAGAGAGGGAGACAAACAGCAGCTTTGCTTGCTTACAGTTTGCCTGAGAGGTGCCCAAAACCAGGCGAGAGCAGGCCCTGGGCACTGCCAGGGAGAGCTCAGAGAGCGTGGGCACACCCAGAATCCTGACACACCCAGGAAATATCTGATCAGGCTTTTCACAGAATCCTTGAGCTGGAAAAGCCCTCCAGGACCATCAAGTCCATCCCCTCCCTACCTTGTCCCCAGCCCAGAGCACTGAGTGCCTTGGACACCTGCAGGGCTGGGCACTCCAAACCTCCCTGGGCAGCTGTGCCACTGCCTGACCACCCTTTCCAGGAGAAATTCCTGCTGATGTCCCACCTGCCCCTCCCCTGGCACAGCTGGAGGCTGTTTCCTCTCCTCCTGAGCCTTCTTTTCTCCAGGCTGAGCCCCCCCAGCTCCCTCAGCCCCTTCCCTTCCCTGCACACGCTCCAGCCCCTGCGTGTCTCTCTTGTCATGAGGGGCTCAGAACTGGACACAGCACTGGAGGTGCCTCAGTAGTGTCCAGCAGAGATTTTAACATCTATTGGTCTCCCAAAACTTTTATGTCCTTAAAAATATCTAATTATTACCGATAACTTCCAAAGATCAGAGCAAGATATCTTTGTCAAACGTGACTGAAGATTAATGGACACAATCAGAAATAATTTGGTGAAGATTTATCAAACACATGAAAAGCAAAATTTGTTGTTAAGTGAAGCAAACACAATAAAAGAGCAAGTTCCATGAATGAACAGCAACGAGACACAACTCATTAACCAAATGCCCAGGAATATTTCACACCTCAGAAATCTACTGACATAATCAGAATATTCAAGAAAAGGATAAACAGAGATTAACTGTAATAATTTCTACCTGCTTTACAACTGCCTTTTCTGCCACAGTGCACTGGTGGAACTTTCAGTGCATTTGCTTAAACTCACTTTCCCTTGTGCTTTCCTTATGTTAAGGCTCCACAAAAAGTTAACACCAACCCTGCTGTTCCTGGGAGCCTCTGAAGCCATTTACCAGCTAATGCCCCCAAGGTGGGGCAATGGGAGCAGGGATCTGCTGTATGGACCTCCTTCAAGTTCACTGTACCTCCTGAGAGCAGCAGTTGTACAACCAGCACTCAGGGTACACCTCCTATACCTTCACGTGGTTTTGAAAAGCCAGTCTGATAAGTTTATAATAAAGAATAAACCTGCAGCTGAACTCCCAGGCCCTTACCTCTGGTGGCTGCATCCAGAGCACAGCCACAGCCCGTTGCTCCTCCTCCTATGACAATGACATCAAATTCACTGTTGGTTTGCAGGGCCAAAATCTGCTGTTCTCTCGTGGGGAGATGGTTCTTTACTGGAACAACCTCTGCAGCCTGAACCTGCACCAAGGCACCCTGCAGAGATTAAACACAGCCCATGATAAAGGGAAATAAAGGGAAAAATTAAGATTTAGGAAAACCAAAGTTTGGCAATTCCTAGCATGACCACTGTTTTCTCCCAAACACGGTGCCTGTGGCTCCCATGGGCTGCCATCCTTCCCCCAGCCCAGCCCTCCTGGGGCACAGCCTGCCTGCCAGCACCCCAGAGCTGCACTCAGCGCTCACCCAGCTGTGCCCAGGCTCGGCTGCAAAGGCTGGGAACAAAGGTCTCCTCATTAGGAGCTGTTTAAAGCCAGCTCAGCCCTCAAACAGAGCCGGGCTCCCGGTGCTCCAGGCACACACAGACAGCGAGCGGGGAGGCAGGGAGGTGAATCCTGATGAGCCTCGCCATTAGTCTGCCCTCGCTCTCCCGTGTTTACACACCAACCTGTGGCTGCTGGCAAAGATCACGGGCTGAGGGACAGAGTTTGGGTGCTTCAGAGCAGTTCAGCTGCCACGTTATCCATTTGGCCGTGGAATTATTCCCATTCCCACCTACTGCTGCCTCTTTCCCCACTCTCTCCCCAGCCCCGGCCTCTCCAGCAGTGCCAAAAGCTTTTACATCCCACAGAGTATCGCAGAAAGACACCACTGAAGGTGTACAACTTAACTTCAGGAAAAAAAGAGAACACCAGAAAAGCCACACTCAAGAGTACAAGAAGTACTGGTGTCAGTTGGGTTTGACTCTATGGTTTGGTTTGATTTTAAACACATTATTTACAACAAATGGCTTAAAGCAGAACCAGAGCAGAGTCCCCAGCATCCAGCCCCTGGTATTGCCAGAGTCTGGAGATTAGCCCTGGAATATAAGCAGAGTGATTAGCACGAGGAATTGATATAGATATGATGCATCTTGCTGTCAATTAAATGGGGGAGTGAAGAAAAGCTGCACACAGGGATTCCATCTGCAGTAACGTGATTAGTTTGGCAGTGAACAAGTGTGTTTACTGAAATAAGCAATTGCTGTTTATATCTACAATTTCTCAGGCAAGAGTTCCCTGAATGGTTTTGATTACACTCTTAGTGAGAGGAATTTAGTTTGGCAGTTTGAATTTAATCATCAAGTTATAAAGTGATCTAGTAATCCATAAGCCAGGGCTCTTGTTAATTTGCTACTGTAAATCTCCAGGTAGGTTTGCAGAGTCAGATTCATCATCCTTACTCACTTAAAAAAATCAAGTAATTAAAACTCCCCTAAGCAGCCCCCAATGCATTATCATATCATCTCACTATTGGATTCACCTTGCTGAGCAACTCCCACTGACCAACAACGCACTTCCACACAGGGAAGAGAGGGTTGGGAAAGGACAACAACGTCTTCACACCGCACACCAAAGCAGCGCCTTTCCCCTCGGATTGCAGGGAGGGAGGGGAAGAAAAGCCATCAGTGGTCTCTCCAGCTCAACTTGGCACATCCCAGAACATCCCATCACACCTCGCCCAGCAATTCAGGAAGCAAGAGCATCTGGTATTTCCACTTCTCTGTCACCACCCGTGTTGGAAGTGCTGGTGAAACAGCTGGCAAAGGCTCACTGTGTCACCTGGGCATTCAGGGGCTGGGGATTTGGCCCAAATCATGGAATCCCACACTAGTTTGGGTTGGAAAGGACCTTAAAGCTCATCCCATCCCAACACTTGCCATGGGCAGGGACAACTTCCATCAGCCCAGGCTGCTCCAAGCCCTGTCTAACCCAGCCTTGGACACTTCCAGGGATCCAGGGGCAGCCACAGCTTCTCTGGGCAACAACTGGTTTACAATTTACAGTGGTAACACTGAGAAAATATCAGTCTACATATACTCCTGCTTTACCCAGGAGCAGTTCTGGAGGGACCAGTTTCCTCAGTCCCTGCACCACCTGCTGCCCTCAGCAGCTCCAGCCAGTGAAGCTGCACCAACTCGACCAACCTCAGCAAGGGAATGGATATTCCATGTGAAAGCTCCACTCCTGGGTGTTCTCTGAACGAGGTTTGGCTTGAATTAGTGTCACTCCTGCTTATTCCCTCACACAGAGCACTGTGCTCTCCCAGCCTATTAATTCAGTGACTATCCCAGGGATCAGGTTACTGGAAAAGACACCAAAGTGCAATACCCATCTATCAGCTCCTGAGTTAAATCCAGCCACAGTTCTGTCATGTCAACACCTGTCCCTGTCCTCCCTTTGCTCAGCAGGGACCATGTGTGGTCAGGAGACCCAACACACAACCAGGGCCAGGATCCCTGGAAGTGTCCAAGGCCAGGTTGGACGGGGCTTGGAGCAACCTGGGCTGGTGGAAGGTGTCCCTGCCCGTGGCAGGGGGTGGAACGAGATGAGTTTTAAGGTTCCTTCAAACCCAAACTGTTGTGGGATTCTGCGATTCAACTGCAGTTGCAGAAATGTGCTCCAAAATGTCAGCACATGTGTGTGTGTGTGTAGGAAAATCAGCTGGGATGAAAATCAGCTGGGATATAAATCTTGAAAACCAGGACAGACCTGGATCGGTGGAGTGTTTTGTTTCCAAGGTGTAAACACTTGATACATGGCCCAGGTTAGGGGTGCTGCCTGTGCCACTCTCCTCTCAGCACACCCAGCAAGGACAACGTCAACTTCTCCATCAGAAGCAGCACTGTCAGCTCCGAGCGAGGCAGGAAGCCCCATGGGGAGCTCACTTGAGAGCTGGGGTTTATTTTCTGCAACAGTATCTGAAGCCATAAGGATCCTGGCTTATCCACTTCCAAGCTAGGCTCCCCAGAAATGAGTCATCTCATTCCCAGCTGCTCCTCCTCCCCACAGAAACGGCCAGAAGAGGGATTTAAAAGCCATGCAGAAGTGGCATGTGGGGACAGGGGTCAGTGGAGGGGGAATGGTTGGACTCAGCCTGAGAGGGCTTTTCCAGCCTACATAAGTCTGTGGTTCTGTGATGGGGAAGGGAGTTGAAGAGCACGGCCACTCTGACCCTGCTGTGAGCAGCAGATACCCCAGTGAAGCCCATTTCCCACAGCAGCAAGATCCAGCACACAAACTGACACTGGAATCTCCTGCAGCCTTCTGCTGCCACTGCCTGACTGCTCAGCAGGTCTCCAACACCCTCCTTCCCTGCAGGGAATTCACTCTGGCAGTGCCACAGCGACCTGGGGCACAGCCCTGAAGTGAGCCCCGAGCCCAGCAGCGCCAGGGCTGTGCCCACCAGGGACAACAGGAGCCGTCCCACAGCCTTCCTTGGCACAGATCCTGCCTCCAAACCGCTTCCAGCCTCCTGAGCTGAACAGGAGGTGGCACCACCACTGTTTTGGAGCCGAGATGTTCAGAGGTAGCGCTGGTGGTTTCACTTCCACCTTCTAAGCCTGAAAATACTGTCCAGACTCAGAGCTTATACTTCCATCAGGACTTTCCACTCCTCCTGCAGCCAAGCAAAATCCCCAGTAGCACCCAAAGGTCACTTTTTAAACACCAAAAATGATTTACAAGCACCACACTTCCCCAGCAGTCACAGAGCCGTGACGGTGAAGCAGCTTTAATGCCAAGATCAGCGCCTGCCAAACCAAGCCAAGAGGCTCTTGGCACCCCGCCCCAAACAGAACTCTTCCTACGAGCCTGACATACGCTCCGACAGATTTTAAGTTTCATATTTTATCAGAAATCATAATTAATACTTACGTGTTTGTTTCTATACTGAGAAAATTGAGAGAGGCCAAAAACTGTTGCTATGGCACCTCCTCCAATGAGAGCAGTTCCTTTCACTGCCTTCCGAAATGCCATTTTTTACTGGAAGACAAGAAGATAAAAATTAAATCAGCACATTTACCATGTCAGGATCTGGGCTACACAGGAGAGACCATTTGCAGAAGCTGATGACAATGTTGTGACAAGTTGAAATTTAGAGTAGCAATGTCTTAATTAGCAATTTTCATTGCAATATTAATAATTTCTAAACAAAGTCTAGACAGAGACAAGCCGGAGTGCTCTGGTGCTTGCTGTGAAAGCTGAATGACACGGGTACTCAGATCTGAGGAGATCTGTACACACCCACCAGTGACACTCCTGTCTGTGACAAGTGCTTCCAACACCATGGCAAAGGCAGACCACGAACACCAAATCCTTATCCCAACACCCAAGTGGATCTGCTTCACATCATCACTCTTAGCTCCCCTCCCATCCCATCAAACTCCTGCTACAACCCCCTTAGCCTAAGAGCACTCCATCCTGCTTTCCAGTCGGGAATTACACACCACACAGCCCATCCTACCCCGCAACGGTGTCTGCTCAGGACGCAGGTCCCTCAGCGAGAGGCAGCAGCACAGACAGGGACAACACTGAGCGGCTGCAAAGCAGCACAGCACTTTATCATCCAGCTCCAGAGGGTTTAAAACCAGCCCTATGTGGGTCAGGCCAATTCTTAATAGACCCAGTGTTCGGATCCTGAATGAAAAATTTGCATGGGACTGACCTGAATCTTAAGCAGGCACAACCCACTCCATCCTCCCCGGCCCGTGGGGCTCGTGTCATGCTGGGGACAACACACATCCCGGGAGAGGGACTCCTGGCAGCTCCATGGACCCTCTGGACATGGACACACCTCTGCCCAGGGCACACACTGCCCCAGCAGCCCAAGATAATGGATTTAGCACCAAGAAAGCTCAAAGCAGACATGGGCAGTGTGAGCAGTCCCGTGCCAACAGCAGAACACCAGCGGATTGACAACACGGCAGGAGCAGCTCCGGGCCAGGAGCAGGGGCCAGGGCAGCTCCCCATTCCAGGGCTGGGCTGGGGGGCCCTGCAGCCTCCCCTGGGGCTTGTCAGGACACAGACACACCACCAGGGCACTTCACTGACCTGCTTGTGTGCCTGCACATGCTGTACACAGAGACATGTGCCCAGGCTGGATTGTCCCAAAGGAGGGAATCCTTCCCTGGGAGGGTGGGCAGGCCCTGGCACAGGCTGGGCAGAGAAGCTGTGGCTGCCCCTGGATCCCTGGAAGTGTCCAAGGCCAGGTTGGAGCAACCTGGGCTGGTGAAAGGTGTCCCTGCCCATGGCAGGGGGTGGCACTGGATGGGCTTTGAGGTCTCTTCGCACCCAAACCTCATTCCTGTAAGCACAGCCAACACTCATCCCTGCTTCCTGTGCCCTCGCTTACACCTCTCCTAGCACTTTGAAAACCAGGGACATACCTGCCAGAGTTACATCATCACCCTTTCATGGAATTAGAGCAGCACACAGTACACAAACCACTGACTAAAAGCCTCAGTGACCATTGTCTGCACCAGCTGGCTTTAAAAAATGCAGCTTCCTAGACAACTCGGAAAGTATTTTTTTTTTCAACAAGAAAACCATTATCTTAGGACTGCAAGTTTTACTGGGCCTTTTTAATAGGCATTTTATCAATACTTGTAAAAAAGACGAAAAAACAAACACCCCTCCAAGTTTTTAAAACTGAAGAAATGTTGTAGAAATACTTGACCTTTATGCCTTTAGTTTTATATTAAAAAATATTACTGCATCAACCTAAATCTGTAGTTTCTGTCATTGTCAATCACGCTAGAAATGCCACTGTACACATACTAAAAGAAATCAGTCAAAAATCCCTTGAAGTTGTGTAGTAGATTTCTAAATTGTCTGTGGGACAATTCTGCACAACTTTATGAAATCAGTCAGGAGAAATCAACTCCACACTCACTCCAGTCCCGAGTTACAGACACCTTCTGCTGTTTGTCAGCACCCAGCAATCTCTACTGCCAATTCAGGCCATTAACTGTCCCTGTATGTACCAATAAAGGACAGCCAGCCTTCAGAATTGAATTAATTCCTTTATCCCGTTTACAGCAGCTCGGGGAACACCAAAGGCAAGCACTGGGCACGGCCACGGGGCAGGCACATTGGGAATAGGGTCAGGGTGGCTCCCAGCACGAGCTGACCCTGCTCTCACTGTGGGTACAGCCGTCCTAACCACACTGGAGGGACACCAGATGTGCCACAGGGAACAGCTGTGCCACTCTGATCCCGCAAGTAACACTTACAGCACACAAAGGGGCTGGGTGCTGGCTGTACAGGAGGGACTCCCCTCTGCTCACTTGCCACCAGGGGCGTGTGGCATTAGGTCTCCTCAGAGCTGAGAGCCCGATTACAGGCAATTCTCCAGAGAAAGCAACTCTCCCAGGAGCCCTGCTGCTCAAACTGCCACATCAATCTTGCTCACCATTCCTATGAGAAGCTTATTCAGGGACAGAAAGGAAAACAGGGCTTAACAAACCACTCCAGTGCAAAGCCAGACGGGCATTCCAACCTGCAGACGGTGCTTTTACAGTTGGAACAGCTCGGCTGCATCCCAGGAACCCAGGAACCCACATTTGGGAGGTCTGAGCCACGTGTCTGGATGAGGCTGGCTGAGCTTGGCACGTTAGCAGGGGCTGCAGAGCCCCAACAACCCTCTGGCATCAATGTGCCAGGCTGGCCTGGGCTCTGCTGGGGCACAGAACCTCTCCTGCGGCTTCCTCTGGAAAGGAACAGCACTGCAGGTGGGAAATGGCACACAACAAGGCTCCTCTGGGCAGGAGGACGGATCAAACACCGCCCCAGCAGCCACAAAGCCAGAGACAAATCAGAGGCTCCAAACATACACTTGAGGGGTTTCCTCTAGCGCCGTCCCAGACGGCTGGGAAAGGCTGCTGTCAGCTCCAGAGCACAGAGGAATGGGGAGGGAATGCAGCCCATGTCATTCCATGAAGGCTGCACCCAGGGAAGAGCCTACGCTTCCAAACCCGTCCTGTTCTGTGAGCAGGTACTGACACCTGCCCCTCTTCCGAGCTGAGATCAACGGCTTGTGACGGAAACAGAACTTCATTTTAATGGCAATTATAACAGCAACCAGCATGAGAAGCACTACAGTCAGAAATAAGTCATCTTTCCATCACACAAATATTCTGAGTCACCTTTCAAAGCAGCTCAAGCAGCGTACAGAGTGTTTTAGTGCTGTCAGCGCCATCTGACACTGTAAATCTGCGTGTTAAGCCTGACCCTTGGTTTTGATAGAGGCCATAAATGGCACCTTTGGACCCGTGCCCTCGCTTGGAGGGTGGGCTGAGGTCCCTGACAGGCTCTAGAACAAGCTGTGGCAGGAGCAGGAGCCCTTGACTAGCACAGGAGGAGCCAGGGGCATGTGACAAGCAGTGGGTATTGCACAGAGTTATCTGCCCAAGCAGTTCAATAACCCCGGGGAACAGTTCCCAGGGAACTGGCTGAGTGTTGGTAAAGATCCACAGGGACATCAGCTCCGAGTGGTACTCAAGGTTCCTGATAACAAGAAACAGCCCTTAAACTTGAAAGGAAACAAAGGGGCAGGGGGAGTTAGTCTATGTGAAACAGAAACTACACAAAAGATTTGTCAGCACAAGTTCCCACTTTCAGTTTCCAGAAGTTAAAGAAGTTAGTAACACAAACCACCTCGCAGTAGGAACTGCTCCCTCCTCAGTGCATTCCTTAGCCAGTAGGTCCCCATGCAATAGCCACCCCCAGAGGAGTGTCCCACTCCAGATCCAGGCTGATGACCAGCTCCCTGCCCCAGCAAGGTCCCCAGTGACCTCACCAGCTATCAGATCCTGGACCTCCTGTGCCACGGGCAAGGGATCCCCTTCATCCTTTAATACCCTCCTTACACTGCTCCACTTTCAGCCCCCTGGTTCAAACCCAAAAACCTACAAAGCACCACTTACACTCTGTTTTTTAAAGAATGGATTTCAACACCTGTCATCATCAGAACAGAGCATGCCACGTGCCAAACCTCGGCCACGCGTAGCCCTCACCAGGCTGGACCCATGGGAGGGACCTGCCTGCCTTCCTTCCTTCCTTCCTTCCCGGAATGCCTGGCCCAGGCAGCTGCCAGGCTGTTGGCTGGCTGTCACTGGGAGTTGTGTAACCCACTCCCACCCCAGACAACAGGCGACTGAAAGGGAAGCACCGCAACCACCAGCACTGCTGTCCTCAGGTACTTTCTGATGAGGAGGACATGGGGCTGGATCTGAGCAGCACACAGCCAAAGATAGGGGAAGGAATGAGAGGAATGAGGGTAGGGTGGGGAATTCAGCCCCAGGACCACAAGTTGGACCACAGCAAGATGCTGGTTTAGCAGCAGCGAAGGCACAGATGGATCCAGGCGGCACAGCTCCGCCACGGGAGCGCGTGCCACCATCAGACACAGAACCTGGTAAATTAAGAGAAGAAACCCAATCTGTTCTGCTGTGTATCTGTGTGCCTTGCGAGGCCATTACCATGGAATCCGGGTGCTTCGCATTCCATCTCCAATGAACACATCTAATAAAGTGAGTCACTCAATGCGAGAATTAAAAATAGAAAACTTATAATCATCTCCACTACAGTTTGCATAACTTGCCATTGGGGCTGGAGCACCGTCTAATCCCTCTTTCCCCTTCCTTCCCAAGGCCTCAGGTAAGTCTGGGATGATGAAAGGCCCAGACTGATTTCCCTCCGGGCTGAGCAGAGCCCTGCACCGGCCCTGCTCCTCCAAACAGCTGCAGTCCTGCCCTCAGCTCCCTCTAATCCAGCTCTCATTCCTCCTGAAAGACTACTTAGCAGGTGGCCACGGTGACAGAGCAGCAGTAGAGCCACAGTCAGTTCTGCCTGTGGGTCACTTCAGCCCTGAAAGCTGCACTGTTCTGTTATTGGCAGTTTGCAGGGTGTGTCATGGCACGAAGAGGCCAAATAATGAGAAAAAGGGGATATAACCAGAAAATAACCCAGTTAGCATCCCCTTAAGCTGGTCATCCACCAGCTGTCTCTCGTTTACCTTTGAGAAGCCTGGAGTGGTTATTGTTGCACAGGATGCCAGGCCAGACTAACTGATCAAAGCCCAAACCAACCCGAAGTGGAGATCCTTCCCCTGCAAGATCTCTGATGAAGGACAGCACATCCAAGGAAGAGTTCCAGTGGTTCCCAAATGCAGCATGGCAGTGTCCACCCTCCAGATCCTCTCCAAAAGCCCCTCCGATGGTTTTCCAGATTCTCAGCACAACTTTGGGCCCTGTGATTAAAGCCATTATCCAAGAACCACCTCTCAAACCAAGCACAGCATCATAACCTGCAACACCCAGACACCTCCCCGTGTCACTGGTCCCTTTCAGTCCCAGACCATCCAGAGATTAATAAATTCCTGCACACAGAATTTAAACCCCCAACATCCCCCCAGGCCACCCAGCCCTGACAAGCGGAAGCCAAGCTTTACCATATGGGGAAAATCCTTCCCACGATCCAGTGCAGGCAACCAGCTCAGCTCTCATGCCCAAAAGTGGCTGTAGCACTTGCCAGGCACAAAAATAAAGGAAAAACAAAGCAGAAAATAGGCGTCCTATCCTCATTCCTCCTCGTAGTCCCACTGTTTCCAACTACTTCATCTGCCTTCTGTACTCAGACACCAAGATATTCCCACCCTTCACTTACATGACTGAACAACTGCTCTACATCACTCCCATCCTACAAGGAACAAACTTTTTTGGCTCTTCTTTCCACTGTTTGCATTTTTAACCAAACCACTTCTTTTTCTCCTGTTTCATTACCCTGCTACAAAAAAAAAAAAAAAGGTTTTACAAATGCTGAGGGGAAAGGTTCGATGTGTAATTCCTTCTTGGGATTTCAATAGCTATAGTCTTGCCAGAGAGAGCAGCAAGTTCCTGGGAATGAAGCAATATCACAGACAGGGATGGCTGTAATCCCAAGGACTGTACCTAAGGACTAACAGGAGTACAAAGGAACACCAACGTCAACGAGTATTTGGAGCCTTCCCACCATACAAACATCACAATATGTTTACCAAGTTCTAGATAAAAGTATTTCAATTCCCTCCTGTCCTACTGGAAGGAGTGGGAAGCCTCATCTCCAGCCTGAGCACTGACTAATGTGTGCAGGATGATTTCCATACCTTTGTGTTCTTGTGCAAATGCAGTTTCAGCTTAAACAGTTCAAAAAGTCCTTTTTGCCTTCCCTGTTGGTTAATATCCAGAAAATCCACCACACACAACACAAACAACATAAGCCAATTATTGTAATTAGAAAGAAATGTTCTTGTTAGTGACAGCTAATTTATAGCTGTTCACCCTTTTTTTCTGATATTATTTCCCTCATTTTTAATGCAGATATTTGAATAGACAGTCTATCAGTTCAGCTTGATCCTAATGTTGGTTTTCTTTCCCCTCCCCAGTCAAGCACTCAGGGAGCAAGGATTAGAAGGTGTTTTGCTTATTACAAGACTGGACATAGACCTTCACATACAAACAGGAACCTGCTCAAAAAATAGCTCCAAATTAGGTGATTACTTAGGTGTGGCAAGGAAGTAGCCTAGTTTTATGTCCTGGGATAAAGATTGAGACCTGATAGCACATGTAAATCTAATCCCAGAGGAGGGGCCTGCCTTCAGAACCACTTTGAAATCAGAACCAGCGCTCGGTCTGTGAAACCCTTTGCCAAGCACATCAAACAGCCCAGTCCAAGACCTGGTGCCCAGCGAGCAGAGAATCCTCACCGTGGGCTCCATCCACAGGGTCCAGCTGGGACTCAGGGCCAGTTCCCCTGGAAACCCCTTGGAGACACAGTTACACATTTGCTCGGGAACCTGGCTCAGAGATGGTTATTTAGGGACAGGGAACGTTTCCAGAATCAATACTGTGATACTGTGGAAGAGCTTTGATTACTGTCTGTTTGTTATGTAATAAGAACTGCTTCCTAAAGTAAAGCTTTCTGGCAGGAATGGGCTGCATCTACATCTCTAAGAGCTCATTAGTGGAGCCCCAAACCCAACAGCTGCTGCTGAAAGCAGCCTCTGTGTTCTCTGTGCTCTGCATTGTTTACTGCCAGTACCTCCAGTCTGGACCACAAACACCCAGGAAGCAGGGGAAGCATCCTCCACTTTTGTTCCATTTGCTTCAGCTTTGTTTTTCCAGCCTCTAATTTTTATTTCACAGAATCCCAGAATCACTTGAGTTGGAAAAGCCCTCCTAGCCCATTGAGTCCCCCCTGTGCCCCATCCCCACCTTGTCCCCAGCCCAGAGCACTGAGTGCCACGGCCAGGCCTGCCTTGGACACCTCCAGGGCTGGGCACTCCAAACCTCCCTGGGCAGCCCCTGCCAGTGCCTGACCACCCTTTCCAGGAGAAATTCCTGCTGATGTCCCCCCTGCCCCTCCCCTGGCACAACCTGAGGCCGTTCCCTCTCCTCCTGTCCCTGTTCCCTGGGAGCAGAGCCTGACCCGTTCCTGTTTGCCCAGCTTGGCCGTGGTCTCCCGCTCTCCCAAGCCACCCAACAAGCAGGGCCCAGAGGCTCCCAGGAGGGTGGCAGGAGCAGGGATCAGCACCCTCCTGCTCACATCCTGCGCTCTCCTCAGCCACAGGAGCACACCCACAATGACACAGCTACCCCTGGAAAAGTGCAAGTCCAAACTAACAACCAGAAGGCCAAGAACATACAGTAGATTAGTTAATCTACACAACTAGACTATCAGAGCTCTGGGTTAGACTGAGGGCAGCACAGGCCATAAAAAGGGAAAACAACTCCCCAGGTCCCATTGACAGCACCAAATAAACAAGCACCAGAGTATGAGGAAGCTGTTGCTTAACTGAGCTGCTTGGAAACACCAAGCCCTGTTTTGAAACCATCCACGACGAGTGGAAGGAGAAAGTCACCAATGCAAACCGATGGCAGAAAAAACACATTTCTCTGAAATATTTCCCAAAGCTTGCAGAGACTTGTGTGGAGACAAAGCAGGCAGCAGCGAGGAGCCTGTAGGAGCTGTCCTTTGGGAAACTGCTCTGCATGAGTGGCCTCTGAACCCACCACATCCAGACAGCTTTCCGTGTTCCCATCAGTGACAGTCACCAGGAAGAAGTGGAGCCCTAGGGAAAATACTACATCATGCAGCAAGGCCTAGCTCACAAAGTTATTATTACTGTGCTTCTGTACCTACACAGAATTAAGCAAAACAAAGTGTAAATCCACATATACACAAGCAAAGTAACACTGGTAATTACACGCAAGGTGTGTGCATAATCTTACATCGTAGGTGTGCCTGCTCAAAACTTCCATCCAATGTCAGACTAAGAAAATTGCTAATTGTCTAACGTTAAAATTAATAATATCCTGGTTGTTGCTGTTATAGAAGAGGCAACACTGGCCTTTGCTTTAGCTATTAACATGTAAAGATCCTGAAATACCAGACCAAGTCTTCTACCAGCTAATTGGAGGCGCTGCTCATCACTGAAAATTCCTGAGGAACTGCAACTACGAATAAGGGAGGAAAACGGAAGTGTAGAAAGGAGCAGGGAAGAGAAGAAAATGCAACTACTTCCGAGTGGAGCAGAGCCCCCACTTCCAGCAGCAGGTGAGAGGAGCTGCTGCCAGCACACCTGTATTCCCTGATTACTGCGACCAGCAGAGGAAGTTCAGCAGGGAGTACCTGGCTCAAATCCGAGCTCTCCACACACACATTTACACCCTTTCCCATAGTATCAGGCTTACAATCGTTTACTGATGGCTTAGTAGAGATAACAACTCAAAAAAGTTGAGGGCTTGATACGCTCCCACTCAGAAACGGTCCCACGAGTATGCTCAGTGCAAGTAGTAAGTTACTTTCGTTTTCCAAAGTTCTGTGTAACTACAGACATGTTATTTTTTTCCCCCCAGATTTCACATTTTTCCAATAACAGGAGATGCTGTTTCTACCCCCTCCATCCAAGAAAGAAAACACAGTGAAAGCGCTCTGCAACCCCCCTTGTTTGTTATATTTAGATACCTACAGGTGCTCAGGCAGCTGTCCATGGACAGCGAGACTGGGCTGGGTCGCTGTTAGTGGGACATTCTCAGGGAGCACAGGGACCGCACACACACGGGACAGCTCGACACCACTTCCACAAAACTGCCACACACTCCTTTTTTTGGCCATTTTTTTTTTTCCAACCAAAAGCTTAAATAAAACAGTGGGAGGAGGCTGGGACCACCTGTGAGTGAAAGCTGCTTGTGTAAGATCATGGAACCACAGAATGGTTTAGATGGGAAGGAATCTTAAATCCCATCCCATCCCACCCCCTGCCATGGGCAGGGACACCTTCCATCAGCCCAGGTGGCTCCAAGCCCCGTCCAGCCTGGCCTCGGACACTTCCAGGGATCCAGGGGCAGCCACAGCTTCTCTGCCCAACCTGTGCCAGGGCCTCAACACCCACAAACTGGGGAGGAATTTCTCCCCAATATCCCACCTACCCTTGCTGTTCTACGAGCCTTACGAGCAGAATCATAAAATCGCGGACTGGTTTGGGTTTGAAGGGACCTTAAAGACGCTCCAGTTCTATGGGCAGGGACACCTTCCACCAGCCCAGGGTGCTGCAAGCCCCGTCCAGCCTGGCCTGGACACCCCCGGGCTGGGGCGGGCAGAGCCCCCCGGCCCGCAGGGGAGCAGGGGCAGAGAACGCGTTAGATCCGCGCTCACACAGAGGCCCCCCGGGCTGGGGCAGGCAGAGCCCCCCGGCCCGGAGCGGAGCAGGGGCAGCGGGGTGCGCTGGATCCGCGCTCACAGAAAGGGCTCCCCCGCGTTCCCCCCGCGTGTCCGGGCCAGCCCCGCTCCCTCCATCGCCCCGCGCCACCCCCCGGCTCCGAACCCCGCTCGGAGATACCCCCACAGTCACTCACCCGGAGCCCGCGGTCCGGCGCGGGCGGCTCGGCCGGCGGCAGCACAAGGAAGGAGGGCGGCTCTGTGCCGCCCGCCCTCCGCCTGCAGCAGCCAGCCCGGCTCCCCCGAGCTCCGCCTCGAACACCGCGGGCACCTCCCCGCCCTGCCCTGCCCTGCCCTGCCCTGCCTTGCCCTGCCCGGGGCCGCCAGTGCGGCCTGGCCCGCCAGGAGGGGCCCGGCGCGGCCTCCTCATCCCCGGCCTCGCGTGGCGGGGGTCCCCGCCCGGGGCCGCCCCTCCCCGGGGCTGCACGGGCGGCCGCGCCGGAGGCCTCGGGCCCACGCGTGGGGCCCGGCGCTGCCATCCGCGCCGCTCCTCGTGGCCTGCAGCTGCCTGGGTGCCGCTTAAAGGCCGTAAACAACTGCAGGGGTTGGATTTCACGGGTTTTGCACAGTCAGGGATATTCAGGCCCCCGGTGATGGGAGCCGTGTTTATCCCCGGCGCATAAGTGCTCTTAAAAGGGAATAAGGTCTCAAGTGGCAGCTGGAATTTTTATATGTTCAGGCTTGGAAGCCCTCGGCTGTAGAGAAAGAATAGAAAACGAAAGGAAAAAGACCAGAAAATGATTAATTGGTGTATGAGGTTATGGGTTTTGTTTGGTGTTTTTGTTTGTTTTGTTTGGGGGGTTGTTTCTTTGTTTCTTGTTTGTTTTTGAGAGATCATGAAAAAGGAAGAAGAATTGGGGGGAAAAAAGGGATTTGAATGCAAGTTGTGGTGAATAATTGCAGCATGATCCGACACACACATGGTTCTGCAAGTGAATGCCTACCCATGTATGTGTTCTAACAAGTTCAGGGTGTGAATGCCTTCCCCATGTGTGTGTCCTAATGTGGCACAAAATGTTATCATTTCACGCATTTCTAACAAATATTCAAAACTTGATCGTAAGTTTGTTAGAACTGGGAAAATCCTCTGCCCTCCCACCCCTCAAGGGTGTTGTCTACCCACACGTGGCTGTGCTGTCAGTTTTAATTTATGGTCATTTCGTATTGACTCCAAAGAAAGCAGTGTAAGAGCACAAGATGTGTCTACATTCAGTGCCCAAGTGAACGTTTTCAGCACCCAGCACTGCTGTGTCTCATCAGCTCTTCCATACCAGCAAAATCTTGAAGGGAGTAGAAAATGAGAACGTTGTACTACTCCACTCATAAAGGGAAATCCAGGAGTCAGTGAAAACTTTGTAGGGATCACATTCCCCAAGCAATCTCACTTTTCAGGATAGGTTGTCCACATGTTCAAGTGCTGCTTCCAATGAACAGGGATGGGCTGTTCTCACTCCATTAGGCTTCTGTTCAACTACTGCTGTCTTTTTGCCTTAGTTAGTTTTCACCTCTATTTTTATCTAAGTTACTCATTGGCAAAGATTGGGCTTCGTAAGTTTGCAAAGTGAAAGATTTTTACAAGGTTAAGAAAAAAAAAAAAAAGAGATGCCTGAAAATACCGCAAAATTCATCCCTCTTGACTCTGCTTTTTATTTAATGCCTCGATGAAAATATTACCTCCTGAGTCTCCGTGTGTGTGGCCGAGTCCCCGGGACACCTGCCAAGACACGAATTTTAGATGCCCGAAATCATGTGCTCAGCAGGTGTAAATTGTGTGCAGGGAGAGTTCACCTTTTGTCCTGAACCCCAGAGGCAGTTTCTCTTCATTAGCAAGGGAAGATGGGGAAGAAGATTATCCTCGCTTCCTGACTGCATGCCAAAGTTATGTATCATAAGGAGAAAATCTGTTCATAACGTTCACAAATATGTTTGCTCCTAATCTGTCTTCAGGAAAGTGTCTTTGTGAGGAGCAAGGGGTGCTGGTGATCGCAGGAGAGCCGAGACGGAGGGATGGGAACAGACGCAGAATTTCTCCGCCGAGACTTTTTCCAGCGGGTTGCACGGTAGGTCCTCCCGTTGGAAAATAAAAGTACTTAGTCATGGCTGTGATTAAACATTGAGATTGTTCCCACCTCGGGCTGCGGGTGTCAGGTGTCAGTAGGAGTACAGCCCTGTGGCTTCCCGTGGGATGCTCAGTTTGCCAGTGAACCAGGAAGCGTTGCTGGTGTTTAAACGTTTCCCCTACACGCAACAGATAAATCCATCCGCTGTGTGTCCGAGAATGAGCAAGGGGCTCATTTTTCTATTAAAACTGCAGAATGTGTTATCATCGTAATCATGTCTGATTGTTCGCTGTTCCACCAAGATCCCACACCAGGGCTGAGCTACAGAAACAAACGCAAAAATTGCAGTTTTAAAAGAATAAGGTCACAGGGCGCGTTCTGTGTGGCAGAACAAGCACCATCATTAACTGGCCTCTCCCTGCAATGGCAGCACAGGCAGGGAGCAGAAGGAAGGGATGTGGACTATCCCTGTTTTTCTAGGGCAAACAGCCGAGCTAGGTCTGGCAGAAAACATGAATTTCCTTGTTAAAGAAAAGAAAGACAATATCTTTTAGAAAGCAGGGCTGCTTGGACTACTCAAGAGTAGTTATTTTATGGTTAAATGTTTAAAGATCTTGGTTGTGGCAGTAAATATATATTAAAAAAAAATTAATTAAATTTATTTCCTCTACATGTGCCAGAACGAGAGATTATATTCAGCAAATGCACTGCAAAAGGCTCTTTGGAATTTGTGCTGTATTATTTTTTGTTCTGAGACAAAGACAGACCAAAACCAGTCCTGGTGAGTATACACATCCACTGTTTATCCAGGTATTTTCTCCACTGAATTGATTAGGAAAACTTTAGAAAACCAGTTCAAAGATGTACAATCCCTTTGAAAACCCCAGCCTGATATCCTGATATATTATCAGTGCATAATGAATAAAGAGAGGATTTGAGTCTCCTGTTCTCTTCTAGTACCCATTTCCCTGGCATTGCCTGTCTGATGGTGTTCCTTTGGGACCATTTGGATGGGATCCGGAATGAACATTTTCAGGGTGTCCATGGGTTTATGAGGAACTTGCACAGATTTCCAGCAAAATCATCAATGGTTGTGTTGGGGGAAGTTATTTTAAATAACCATGTATATCATTGTCAATTTGGTTTTGGTGACCTTTAGTGATCCAGAACTGTTCCATTGGGAGAAAAGGGATATTGGAAAATCCCTGTGTTTCCCCTTGGCTGGCATCTGAAACAATCAGCATTCCTGGCTGTAAATGGCTCCTCTCAGTGTCCAAAGCCCGCAGATGGGATATCTCACCCCCTCTTCCTTTAGCACCGTTTTTGACCACACCAGCCATCCTGCAGCTCCCCTGGAATTTCAGATCATACCTTTTTCATCCACAGGAACATTTTTCCCTGCAGATTTAAATAATTAATTGGGACGTGCCTAGTGGGTCTTGAGCTAAACTTCAGGGAGGCAGCAGATACGTGTGACCAAGTGACCTTTTGCTGTCCTGCTCGTCCCCGCGCTCGCGCTGTGCTCAAAGGGACGCTGTCAAAATTGCTAGGCCTTAAAACTTTAACCCGCTCTGACAAGTTGTTCTACATTATAAGTCTTCCCTAAAAGATTACCACGATTGTTTTGTTTGTTTTGTTCCAACAGTCTTTGCTGAAGGCTCCACAATACGGCTTCATTTGTCCTTTTGGGTAGGTGGATATTTTTA